CCGTCGACCTCCTCCAGCCTCCACGGGCTACTGTTCATCCACCGTCGACCTCCTCCAGCCTCCACCTGCGACTGTTCATCCACGGGCTCCTGTTCATCCAGCCTCCACCGTGCGCTCCTCCACCGGCTATTGTTCAACCACCCCTTTCCACGGGCTCCTGTTAAACCACCCCTCCACAGGCTACTGTTCATCCACCCCTCCACCGTCTACTGTTCATCTAGCCCTCCATGGGATCTACATGATAGATTGTAAAGACAATTTTAGACTAAGTTCATGACAATTAAGTTCATCTAATCAAATTATTTAATGAATTTCCACTCTGATATGACCATATGTAAAACAACAATGCATGTTGCTTATACGGTAGTTGACGCTGTTGTAGTTGAAGAAGACAAGGATGATACGGCCGCTGTGACAGTTCATGTCGACGGTGTACATGTTGCAAGGGTTTTGCTTAAGTCTTGGCCGAAGTACCAAGGAGTGCTTTCATATTTGCATGCATCGGGCAATCAAACAGGTGGCATGCATGCCAGTAGGTCCAGCCAAAAATCAATTAGATGCTACCATGTTTTGTACCACGTACATGTGCATGAGTCTGTTTCAGATTTAAAAGGAATACATCACGTTGGTTATTTCTTTGGGAGACTATGGCCACCGGACCAATCAAGCATTGGACCCAGCAAGAAGTTTCTCACGTTGAAGTGATGGTGTTTAAAGGAATCAGGATGGGGGCCACCAGCTAGCAAAATCAAATTAACTAGCGTTCTTCAAGTAGGAGATATAAACTTTATTTTTAGCAGGTGTTTTTGGTGCATGCCGAGATGTAAAAGGCAATTTAGTTTAAACCAAATAAGTGTCCAGAATTCTTGGGAAAGCTCGTGTGCGTTAATCCTTGTTAGTTGGGTCAGCTATACTAGTAGTACTAGTATACATAGGCATAGTACGGCCATGTAAAAGCATGTTATATTTTTATGAATAGACATGATGTGTTTTTAGGCTAAATACCCGTATCGAGTTTTGGGGGAAGCTGTCTAAAAATCCCTAAGTTTTGGAGGAAGCTTTAGAAAAACTCTATGTTGGGATTTCTATGTGAGAAAACTGTTTTGCGTGTGGCTACCGTCGTCGAGATTGATTTTCTCGTGCTGAGCCGCAAGGTTCAAACCCTTTATTTCGTGTACATCACGTGTGTGGGCGAGAGGTTGGTACTATTGGTGGTGGAGTGTCGTGAAAGATCGGGCCGTAACAACAGATCGGATCTCGCCTACGAGGTTCGGTTTATATCAGGTGGTATTCAGAGCATCAGGTTGTTCACGACACTATGGAGAAGATGGAAAGTGCATCGTTATTCAGTAAGTGAAGCTATGGATTTCAGTTGGAGGAGGAAGGTTGTTGGACTGGGCTTTTTCACGGCAGCGTGGTGGTGAGAGAAAGATCATGTGCCATGACCATCGATCACATGAATTTGATCAACGCTGCAAGCATCAAGATGGTGGAGAAGTTGGATCTACCGATGCCACCACGAGCATGACCGTACTTGTTTCATTGGGGTCATGAAGAGCTCACCGTGACGCACCAAATCAAGGTATCGTTTTTGTTGAGAAATTATTTTTGCGAGGTTTTATGCGACGTGATTTCGACACCTGTGATTTCATGTCACTTGTTATTGGGCGGGCCATGGTATAAAGAGCATGATGTTACGTATGATTGCAAAACACATAGATATACTGTCAAGAAGGGTAAGAAGTGTAGCCTCGTGCCAATGGGTGAGGAACGCTATATTTCTTGGAGGAAAGAACATCTTGAGAAGATAAAAGAGCAGGAAGAAGAAGAGAATAAGGTCGAAGTTGCTAAAAATTTTGCGGTTCTTATTCAATCAAGTGAGGAAGAGGTCACCTCAAAACCGAGGACGGTTTTGCTTCAAGGGGGAGAGAATGATATGACCATATGTAAAACAACAATTCATGCTGCTTATATGGCGGCTGACGCTGTTGTAGTTGAAGAAAAGAAGACAAGGATGATATGACCGTTGTGACAGTTCATGTCGACGGTGTACATGTTGCAAGGGTTTTGCTTAAGTCTTGGCCGAAGTACCAAGGAGTGCTTTCATTTTTGCATGCATCGGGCAATCAAACAGGTGGCATGCATGCCAGTAGGTCGAGCGAAAAATCAATTAGATGCTACCATGTTTTGTACCACGTACATGTGCATGAGTCTGTTTCAGATTTAAAAGGAGTACATCACGTTGGTTATTTATTTGTGGGACTACGGCCACCGGACCAATCAAGCATTGGACCCAGCAAGAAGTTTCTCATGTTGAAGCGATGGTATTTAAAGGAATCAGGATGGGGGCCACCAGCTAGCAAAATCAAATTAACTAGCATTCAAGTAGGAGATATAAACTTTATTTTTAGCAGGTCTTTTTGGTGCATGCCAAGATGTAAAAGGCAATTTAGTTTAAACCAAATAAGAGTCCAAAATTCTTGGGAAAGCTCATGTGCGTTAATCCTTGTTAGTTGGGTCAGCTATACTAGTAGTACTAGTATAAACTAGTGGAGCCGTTGCGCCAAATGGCGCAAAGACCCACTGAAGCCATGTACACATTGAAAAGAAAATCCATGATTTAGTTGATTTAGTCGTGGGCAAGCACATATGGAAACAAATTTAACGCTCGTTCTACCAAATGAGGCAAAGTCCTATTTGAAATCATGAGTGCTTTAAAAATGTTCTACTTGTTGATAAAATTAGGATTTAGCAACCACATGGGATGCCAATGCCACAATCATATTTCAAACCCGAAGTGTTTTGAAAATGTTTGTCTTTGTCGATAAAATTGAGTTTTCTGAACCACTGAAGTACTAATTCAAACCCTTTAAAAAACCCTTAGATGCCGAATGACGCAAAAAGTTCCAATTTAGACCAAGAATTAGCTAACATGTTTCACGTTTATCCTTTACATATAAGTGTTAGATACACTTTCATTGCACATACAAATTTTCAAGCTTACTAACAACAATATATTCAAAAGAAATAACTTGATAGGAAATTATGTCTATTGCTAAACCACAACGACAACATTAATATAATTTATATGACTAAGTCATACTTCCATAATACAAAATCAAGTAACTTGTTATGAAATTATGCATACCGCTAAATCACAACTTGACAACAATAATGTAAATATATATATATATATGACTAAGTCGTACTTACATAATACAAAATCAAGTAACTTGATAGGACATTATGCCTATTGCTGAACAACAACTTGACAACATTAATGTAATATATATGACCAAGTCATACTTCCATAATACGAAGTAACATGGATTCCACAAAAAGGTTTAGCTTCAGAGCAGAATACTGATCTATCTTTGTCTTTGTATCTTTTTTCTTCTCCGAACTTGACTGTGATGCCTTTCTCTTATTCATTCTTGACCAACAATTCTCAAACCATCATATTTACCTTTTTATTCCATAAGAAATCTGCAATCTTCACCCATATCGTCAGCAAGTTTATGAGGGAAAGAAAGCACAATAACTGGATTGTTGCTTGTTCAATTTCAAGTTAGCATTTCTAGACTATTATGGTAATTAAAGCTCATATATGCTTCCAAAAGCAAAGCTAAGAATGACATACACAGTACTGTAACAGGGAAAGTAGGAAAATTAAAATATATACTCTGAAACATATTGCAGAAAGAGAAGCGTGAAGCACACTTCCTAGAAATTTGAACACAAGTGAACATTCATTTTTGTTGAGCCTACTATTTATCTATGGAGGAGCATGGATAAGAAAAGACATAAATTTAGAAAATATATGCAAATTCACATATATTTTCTAAAATACAATGGAAATGTGTTGGTCCACTGGTCTATCAGGACAGTTTATTCTCATATTCCAGGGAATATGAAATTCATACAAAAATAAAACACGTGACATAGGTGGGGAACGTCTTTAAGGCAAAACAAGTAACTAATCAAGAAAGAAGTTTGCTCATTCAATTTTTCTGCAGTAAACATTGCGATGGCACACAACGGCAAGGCAACAAATTGGAAATTTAACAGCTCCACGCGATTTGAGTAGTCCAAACAGAACCTTCGCATATGTACATAGGTAGCCATATGGAGCATAACCATATGTAAAAAGGCAATCCTAGGAACACTTCGTTTCAAAAAAGCGAGTCAGGCAGCTAATAGTTTGGATAATAAAACCTCTATAGATAGTAGAAAACAACTTCCAACAATTCAACTGTACAGACTAAAAAGTTCACCGGGAAATGAGAAGAGCCGGCAAAATATATTAAGTTACAGAAGAAGCATCTGAAATACAATAGTGGCTAGTTTGGCATGAAACCTGCATATATTCGAGTGCAATTCACATCCTTTAGGCCATCGTTCTCACGCACTTTTACCAAGTACTCCCTCCGTCCGGAAAAACTTGTCTCAAGCTTATCTTTCAAATGGATGTATCTAGCACTTACTTGGTGCTAGATACATGTATTTGAGGGACAAGTTTTTTCAGACGGAGGGAGCAAGTAGAAAGCATATACAGAGTATGAAAAGGTGATACAGATTACACAACAAATAGTAGTTTCAGAGATTTAGAAGGCCGTCCAGTTTTGCATAGTATGTAAATGGGATCAGTATGCTTTCACCTATGTAGAACTGGACGGCGTACTACTTATTTCAGAGTCAACACATATTTCGATATCTAAAAGAAACCTGACATGAATCATCTGCTACTCTAGAAATCAAATTTATCATGGCTAACCAACATGGAATGATAGAAGAATAACAAACCATCACTAACGTGTGGCATCTGAATTTCTGGCTAAACTAACGTGTAAATATTTGGCAGATATAGACTATAGTGCCAACCATAAAGTGTTATTGCAAAAGCAAGGAAGGTTATTGTAGCTAGATAAATGACTCGCTTCAAGTAGACTGCCAAATTTTTATTAGAAAGTGCATGCCTACTGATAGAACATCTCGGTGAATCACAGTGAGAATGGAAGGCCTTGAGAAATGCAAAAAGGCAAGATAAAATTCAGACATTGGCATACAGAGAAACTAATAGGAAAACATGCACCGTCAATCACACACCATAAGGTCAGCTGCTGGACAGTAGCTGAGCTGCAGTAGATGGTTACCAAGAAATGAACAGAGGGGCAATCTCTACAAAATAACCATGAGAGCACCAAACTATCTGCAAACATGAAGACCCTTGCTTGGATTAGACAGGACGACTACTCCATGATAATCAAAACAAAAAGATGGGATTTAAATTTATAGAGCAATGCTAGGAAGATATTGTCTTGAAGAAAGGAAGGTAAGAAAACAATAAAGCAAGTGATGAACCTGCAAAAATATCCTCCAAGTTTTGCTTGAAAATCCATCGAATATATCCTTGATCGCATATTTGTCTCTGTCGAGGTAGTGACTCTACGGGAAGGTTATCCAGAAAACAGAGTAAAGTTGTTTTTCCTTTTTGAGAGCTCGATAGCAAACCTGCAATGCATAAAAAAGGGATTAGAATTGATAAGAAAAGAAATCCCTGCTATTTTATCGACGAAGAACATACTTCCATCAACAAAAATGAAAAAACATTGAAATTTGATGGTGTAAGGAACCTGCAGTGATATACTGAGCCATAAACTACTTTGCAATGATACATTGAACCATAAACCTGAGGCTCTACTTTGATGCTAATAAATTTATAACTGGGGAAGTAGGAAAATTAAATCATATACTCTAAAACATATTGCAGAAACAGAAGCGTGATGCACACTTCCTTGAAATTTGAACACAAATGAACATTCATTTCAGTTAACACTACTATTTATCTACGGGGGAGCATGGATAAGAAAAGAAAAAAAAAACAGAAAATGTATGCAAATTCACATATACTTTTCAAAAGTCCCATGGAAATGTGTTGGTCCGCTGGTCTATCAGGACGATGTATTCTCATATTCTAGGGAATATGAAATTCATACAAAAAGAAAACATGGGACATAGATGGGGAATGTCTTTGAGGAAAAGCAAGTAAATAATCAAGAAAGAAGCTCGCTCATTCCATTTTCCTGGAGTAAACATTGCGAAGTACCCAGCTATTGAAGTTCCCAGCTAGTACTTAGCATTTGACAATAGGACAGATTATTACCAGACTATACAAGCACCAACTTACATGTATGAGGCTCTATTAAGTAAACATGATTGAAGGGTGAAATATCAACAGATGAAGCACCGACTTACATGTATGAGGCTCTATTAAGTAAACATGATTGAAGGGTGAAATTATCAACAGATCAAGCAGATCGAATCTCCAAAATAAATAGTTGAATAAACATGACCTGAATTTACAATTCAGAATGTTCGGCGTCTCACTATATGGTAAGCAGAGTATTTACTTTCGATCTTTTCATGATCACAGGCGCAAGGACTGTACACACAATTGGTTCCGACATTAGCTCTTTGCAGCATACTGGTACACAAATTACGTAACTAAAACATCAATAGTTCTGTGTAATCCCAATGTAGAGATGAAAAACTGAACCACCATGACAGTACGTAGGAAAGAGCAAACCTTGAGCAGGAGAACAAAGAAACAACATCGCTGCATGATCGTCTGTCCCCATCTCATCTCCACCACACTTCCTCTCTGCGGCCCGATTGACAGCGTCGGATTCAGAAAGTTCTGTGATCACAAGATTCACAATAGATCAAAGTACATCTAAGAATACATACAGCATATAGAGGCGTTTAGGCTACACAATTCTTGCATAGATGGGTAGGGAAGAGAGAGAAATAGATCATGAGCGGAGGGGAAAGAAGGACTGAGGAAGCTCATCCTGATATGCGCCCTATACAGAAACAATGCAACCTACACACGCACAAGGCATTGTTGCATCTTAACAAGGACTGTCATGATATAGAGATGAGCAAACATCATTTAGTTTTCCAGCGATCAAATAAGCTTGTACATAAAAGGAGTTTTATATTTAAAATAAAAGGCTGCCGTATATGATCGTAAACATGACAATCTGAATTAAATGCATAATGCATTTGTGCAGTTTAAAAGGACTAGTAGCTTCCCCAATTTCGCTGGTCAATGCACCAAAACCTGGACACATTAACTCTTCGTCTATGAATGAGAACAACAATCTTAAGCAGTGAACTCAACGACCCACGTATTGTTCCTCCGACCTACAACAGCAAGCTAAATAACACCTAGGTCATCTCATCACAAAAGAATGTAAATCATCACTCCATAAGATCAAGATTGACTATTTAG